GCGTCGGCGGACGACGACGGAGCGACGACGACGGTGATTCAGACGGGAGACGCGGTCGATCGAGGCGATCGGTCGATCGATTGTCACGACGCGCTGGAGCGGTTGAAACGAGAGGCGAACGCGTCGGGGGACGAGGTGGTGACGTTGATGGGGAATCACGAACTCATGACGCTGCAGGGCGATTTGCGCTTCGTCGGGGGACGAGAGTTGATGGATTTAGGAGTGCGGGCGTTGCGCGAGGGTGGGACCACGGGTGACGAAGATGGAAGTGGGGCGTCGCCGCGGGCGTACGCGCACGCTGGACGATTGGCGTGGATGCGGGCGTTCGCGCGAGGGAGCGCGAGAGGCGACGAAGTGCGATCGAAACCGGTGGCGGTGACGAGAGGCGAGGGGCGGTGCGCCACGGTTTTCGTCCACGCTGGCTTGACATCGCGGCACTTGTTCGGGGCGAACTCCGTGGACGCCCTGAACGCGCGAGCGCGAGAGTTGTTCGACGTCGACGTCGTGAGCAAGTCGGGCGAAGACGACGTAACCGGCGGCGACGGACCGCTGTGGACGCGAGAGATCTCCATGGGTGATGAGGAATTGGTGTGTAAAGAGGTGGAGGAGACGCTCGCGAGATTGAACGTCAAGCGAATGGTAGTCGGTCACACGCCTACGAAGAGCGGGTCGATCGAGACGCGGTGTGAAGGGATGGTGCACATGATCGACGTCGGGATGTCGAGCGCGTACGGCGGCGTCCCGAGCGTGTGGATGTGCACCGAGAGCGAAGGACCCATGGCGATCACAAATGCGGGCGAACGCGTGGCGCTGGAGTGATAGCACATCTCATATTAGCCTGTCTATTTCATAATACTAGCGTGTTGTTGTTCTCCTACGTTTCCTAATATTTCTCATCCTTCATTCACGAGACGTCGGGCAGTCGGTGCTTGCGCGCGTCAAACAGTCGCAAGAGATTTTGCAGCGTGTGCCTCGGCCCCACGGCGCTGAGTCCGTGCGCGTTGAGTAATTGCTCAAGATTTTTGTTGAGCAAAAACACGCCGTACGTGTACCGCGTTCGATCGCTCGGCGAGTCCATGAATAACGGGAACTCAATCTTCGCCAGTGTCTCTCTGTTCGCCGCATCCGCGCTCGATCCCGATGGTGTTCGATGATTCGTTTTCGATTTCACCTGATGAAAATCGCAAATATACGAGCGGCTCAGGCTCGGGCACACCGGATAGCGCAGACGAACGTCCAAAATTGCAGCGAGTTGAATGCAAATCTGCGCCACGTTTCCGTACGCCGCGGCGTCTCGCTCGACGTCCTCAACTCGCACGTCTCGCGTCGTCTTTGACGGCGCCGGACCGAGATCCAAAGGGTCGTCTCCAATTTTCAGTAACGGGAAATCCGGTCGATCATTTGCCGCCTCGGTCACATTCGCGCGCTCGATCGGGAAGATCTCTGCAAGCTCGCCCACGAGACGCCAGCGTCTCGCCACGAGCGCGCGCTGTTTTTGATACAATTTTCCCACACCTTCGGGACCGCTGAGCGTTTGATCAGCCTCGTTCAAGCGCGAATTCGCCTCGACCAAGCGCTCGCCCGCTTGTCTGAGCGCTCTAACTCGACGGCCGACGTCCTCTTTCGCGACTCGCAGGCGCTCCCGCTCAGCCACGAGCTCGCTCGTGAGCGCGGTGATGCGCTCATCCGTCGTCCCGTTCCCTCGAGATTTTTCGTGCGAAACGGCCTTACTGTGCTCCCAAATCGCTCGTACGTCCTTGAACCCACTCAAGTGCACGCCGAGACGCCTCGCTAGCTCGTCGCGCAATTCCATGGCGTCCTTCAAACTGCGATCGGCTTCGATGAGACGCTCGATTTTCGCCACCATTGCGCGCACATCGAGCTTTACGGTCATCGCGGGCATCACAGCGTGGCGCGGCGAACCCGATTGCCCCGACGCGCGCGTACTCGCGGCCAACGCTCTCGGACTCGCGTCCCACGACTCCTCGAGCGCGTCGGCGTATGTTGTGCCAGATTCCGACCCGCCGAACGAGCTCCATAGCGCTGAACGATTGCGCCGATGTCCCAGGGCCCCACTCTCCACCTTTAACGAGCGCTCCACGACGGCATTTAAGAAATCTCGAATTTCCCCGTTCGCCACCGGTTCTGGGACGTACACGTACCCATCAGACATTCTCAAGAAGATGGCGTTTGGCGGCATGGACAACCCGCTCGGCACGCGCTCGCCGACGCACACGAGTCGCCTCAGATCGATCGCGGCTCGACACACGATGAGATCTGCACACCCCCTCGATGTCTTCGAATTCGTATTCCTCGATGTCGACGTCACCATCCCCCGTCCGCGTCTCCACGACCGCTCGGATGCATCCGGCCGCGTTTCTTCGTCCGCGCGCGCCTCCGCTTCGACGTTTCGCTCGTCGCTCTCGTACACCACGAGCTCCAACTTCGTCCCCGACATCGCCCCTCGCAGAGCGTTCTCGCGTGCCTCCGCCGTCCCACCTCGCGCGAGCCAACTGTCTCGGGTGAACGGGTTAAAATCTGGATTTCGAGCGCGTCCGCCTCTCGCCCGCTCCGTCGTCGCCTCCGCGCGCGCCCACTTTGAATCCTCCGATTCATCGTCCACGCACACCTCGCCGTACGGCGTCGGCGCGTACACCGCCCCCGACGAACGATACGGTCGGATCACGCATCGCGTCGTCGTGCGATCGCCGTACAGCGTCGCGTCGGCGTTGATTTTCTCGAATCCACCTCCACCGCATCCGCCTCGTAATCGTAAATTCCTCAGCGACACCGCGCGCGCGTGACGAATCGTCCGCGCCGCGGCGTACGTCGACCCCTCATCGTCCACGCGCGCGCGCATCGCGCGTTCACGCGCGCGGCATCGCGCGTTCCGGGCGTCGCGATGTGCGCATCGAATTCAATCGCCGTCGTGATTTCCCCGCGCGCGCGCCCACGCGTCGTCGCGCGCGCGCTCGGGGTCGGTCCGCGGCGCGCGCGATCGATCGCGCGCGCGTCGCGACCGCGCGCGATGGCGCGCGATGCGTCCACGGCGAGCGCGGTGACGATGATCGAATTGCTTCGACGAGCGCGAGGCTTGAAAACGCTCCCGCGCGCCGGATGGGCCAAGCGTCGCGTGCGAGAGGTCGAGTCGGTGGCCGATCACACGTTCCGAGTGGCGCTGTGCGCGATGCTGACGTCGTCGACGGAGGCGGCGCGAGCGATGGGGGTAGATTCGACGCGGGCGGTGAAGATGGCGTTGGTGCACGACTTGGCGGAGTGCGTCGTGGGGGACATCACGCCGTGCGATGGCGTGAGCGACGACGATAAACACGCGATGGAGAAGCGGGCGATGGATGATTTGGTGAAGGATTTGGGTTCGGTCGGACTCGAGGTGTTGGAACTGTGGGAGGAGTACGAAGCCGGAACGAGCGCGACGGCGAAATTGGTGAAAGATTGCGACAAGTTGGAGATGGTGTTACAGGCGCAGGAGTACGAGAGTGAGGGTAACGCGGGGGAGCGAGGGACTTTGGAGGAGTTCTTTGAGAGCACGCGGGGGAGGTACAGGACGACGATCGGGACGGAGATGAGCGAAGAGATTGAAAAGGGTCGACCGGGTCGCGAGTGAGGAACAAAGGAAGGGTCGTGTGTTTGCATACTGGTAGCGTTTTAGTGTACACACAAACTATGTTTTATCACCTTCTACATCTTTTTCCAATTCACGCCAGAAGAATCTTCGTCCACTCACCGCGCTTCCAAATGTTTGCGTACACGACGCCCTGGACGCACCGGTACGCTACGTAAAGCGTCCACACGCACGTGAGGTTTTGATTGAAGAACGTCACCGCAACGTATGCTGACGGTAAAAATATCGCCCACTGGCTCACGATGCTCACGAGCGCTACGCGCTTGGCGTCCCCGACGCCTAAGAGGGCATTTTGCATCGTCAGGCTCACCGCGTCGCCACAGACTGTGAGACCCGTCAGGCGAAGCGGCGTCACCGCAATCTCCACCGCGTGCGGATCGGTCAAGAAGGCCCCGAGCACGACCCTGGGAATAAGCGCTAATGAAATACCCACGAATGACATCAGTATGGCGGTTATCTTCGCCACGTCCCAGGGCCATTGCTTGGCGTCTTCGACGTCGCCGCGTCCGAGCGCTCTACCGCTCAGCGCCCCCGCGGCGAGCCCCATCCCCATGCAGGGTAAAACTAAAAATAACATCAAGTTGATCAAAACATTCACCGCCGCGACTTCGGTTGTACCGATGCGACCGACGATGGAGTAAAGCGCCATCATCCCGGATGCGTAGAGTAGATTCGTCACCGACGTCGGCAGCGCCTGCGTGGCGAGAATCTTCAAATCCCCGAGCGTCGGTCGAGTCTGCAGGAACCCCAATCCGGTCGCTCGTTTAATCCCTTGGTACACGTACATGGCTGTCCCGACCCAAATACTAAAGCTCGTCCCCAACCCGGCGCCCAGGGCGCCCAAGGGAGGAATCCCTAACTGTGGGACGCCGAAAAAAGTCAAAATCAAACTCAGCGTAAAGTTCACCGTGTGCATTACGATGAGCGTGTTCATGTACACTTGCGGTTGCTGAATCGCGTTCCAAAAGCCTCTGAACGCAAAGTTCATCCCCACCGCCGGCACCGCGAGCACTCTCGCCCGGAGATACGGCACCGCGCTCGCGATGACTTGCGCGTCCGACGTATACAGCGGCACCAGCGCGTCCGCGTACGCGTACGCCAAAATCGCGAGCGGCACCCCCATCAAGACCACCAAAATCAACGCCGCGTTCAACGGCCTCGCCACCTCCGGGTACCGCCCCTCGCCCATCCGTCTCGCCGCCATCGCCTGGACGCCGCTCGCGACGCCCTGCAGCGCCGCCTGACATTGAAAATTCATCGTGCTCCCCAACCCCACCGCCGCCACCGCCGCGGTCCCGAGTCGTCCCACCATCGCCGCGTCCGCCAGATTTAACACGTTCTGCGACGCCATGCCGCCCATGACCGGAAGCGCTTGGTCCAAAACTCTCTCCACGCGCTCGCTCGGGACGCCCGCGAGCGCCCACGCGCGCGCCGTCGCCGCGTTCAGCCCCTCGCGCGGTCTCTCATCCCTCGACTCGCTCGCGGGTTCGATCTCGACGCGCATGCGCGCGAGGTGACGTCCATCGCGCGCGCGCGCGAGGCGAGCGCGACGCGAGGGCG